AGTTTGGGGGGGGGGGAGGGGGGTGGGATGTTTGTTGGGTTTTGTTTGTTTGTTTGTTTGTTTTTTCTCCAAATCTCTGAGTTAGCACCTCTAAGAATTCATCAACTGATGCAGATTTCCTCCTTTGAGGTACATCACAGTACTATTGAGAATAAAGTATGGCCAGTTGATGCTGGCCATAAAAGAGAAAAAGTTGTGCTTTCAGTTGTCAATGTGGCAACATATTTTTTATTTAATTTGTTTGGATTCTTAATGGTGGAAGCAGAATTTAATTTGTACTAGAGAATCCTTAAAAATAAATGCTTGATCTCTTCCCACCCACTATTACAGTTGATGGGTACAAAATAAAATGAACAGCAATTCATTCACCTTATCACCGGGGCACCAGAGGAAGAGAGAGATCCTTAATGCAATGATTAATGACTCGCTATAAAAAGATGCATCATAAACTGCTTGTATTAGGTCAAATCATAAACTAGGCTTTTAACGTTTATATGATCCCTTTCTAAATAATTAAGTGTGTCTGTAGCTCCCACTAGGAAGGGAACTTACGACACTTGCAAACCACGCAGTTTCTTACAGGGTCATAACTGGGGACCCTCAGTTACAGGGATCCTTGTCTCTCTACATTTAAACATTCCTTGAATTTCTTGTACAGTTGGGACATTGCTCTGTACTACAGATCAGAGAGACCATTTGATGTCCAGGAGCAGCAAAGATGAACGTGATCTACCCTGAGTTTAGGGTGTCTTCTTCAGGCACACACACCCCCACAGCTTCGCTTCAAGAGAAAGTACCATTATTTTTCTTTATCTCTGCCTCCAGGTTGGGAAAAGGACAGCTGAACCCCAGCTAAAATGAAAACGGGGCTATCTACCGCTCCCTGGACCCACATGGATAGAAGGAGGCAGAGCAGTGGTGCGGTGCTTGCCTGAATGCGGCTAATGAGCCAAGCTGCCCGTGCTTGTGAAGGGCATCTCATCCACATAGGAGTCAGCCACGATTTGACTTTGTAAATTCCTGGCCAAAGTCTGGTTTTAGGTGCTCGCAGACAAGTCCCATCAGCTTCACTAGCTGGTTGGTGAACATTGAGAGAATAACACCATTTATCCATAAGAGAATTCAGTCCTGTATTTATCCATCTTGTGGTGAAACTGTACTCTTTGAAAAATATAGTACAAGATGACATTATATGTGTCAATCCATTTCCTTACTATCACAAACAAGCAATCATGTCCATCTCCCTTTTATTTCCCAGAACAGCTGGTGCTTTTTCTCAACCAAACAAAAACGTCCCTCTCTTGGCCAACAGACATTGGCTTCACTGCAGAGCTAACCCATTAGGAGAGTGTCACAGCTCTAACCCATTTAAAGTTTACACAAAAAATAACATGAGTTAAAAAAAGAGCTGCAGATCCCTAAGTATTGTCAATAGATGTGGTAGTCCCCTCCCCATCCCTTTATGCACTGCTTACTCAATGCAGAAAATCACTTAGGTTAATTATTCAAATATTGCCATCTATGGAATTTAGAAAAGGGAAAACCCAATAGTGGAATACCCAAGATGATGATTTCTTTTAATAAACAATAGATTTAAGGGGGATTAGCTGGGTTATCAAACAGTATCCTCCCAAATCAGCTCATTAGCTTCACTGACTTTCCCTATTTCACTTTAATAAAACAATTTAAATGAGGGTTCATTAGATGCAATGTAATCTAATTCAGACACTCCAAGCCTAATCCCTTTTCTTTTAGCAGTAACATGATAATAATTTGCAAAAAAGTTTAAAGGATTATTATTATAGCTATTTTAAATAGGGGCTGTTTTCAGCCAAACACGTGCCACCACTTCCCCACCATTTTATTATTTATTATTATATTATTTCTTGCTCTTTACTCATTCATTCATTTATTCCTTCCCTTTTCTATCTTTCGTTGCTCCATACAAGCAGAGTCACACGTGGGCAACAGGCTTTGGACACGGTTCCCCACAGCCTCCTCCCGGAGAAGCTGATGCGTCAGGGTCTAGCCAAGTGGTGTGTGTGGTGGGTGGGGAACTGGCTGACGGGACCCACCCAGAGGGTGGTGGTCAATCGCTCTTTTTCAAACTGGCAACTTGTCACAAGTGGGGTCCCCCAGGGATCGATACTGGGCCCAACGCTGTTTAATATCTTCATAAGTGATTTGGATGATGGGATCAGGTGTACCCTCATGAAGTTTGCTGATGGCACCCAACTGAGTGGGGAAGTGGACACTTCAGAAGGGAGAGCAACCCTGCAGGAAGACCTGGATAGGCTGGAAGAGTGGGCTAACAGGAACCTTATGAATTTCAACAAGGACCAGGGTAAGGTCTTGCACCTGGGCAAACATAATCCAGGAGTTCAGCACAGGCTGGGATCTACCTGGCTGGGGAGCAGCTCTGCGGAAAGGAACCTGCAGGTCCTTCCTGGTGGACAACAAGCTCGATATGAATGAGCAGTGTGCTGCTGCGGCAAAGAAAGCCAGCAGGATGCTGGGTTGCATCAACAAGGGCATCACCAGCAGAGAGATAAAAGTCATTATCCCACTCTACTCAGTGCTTGTCGGGCCACGCCTGGAATCCTGTGCTCAGTTTTGGTCCCTGCTATGCAAAAAAGATGTGGACAGGCTGGAGAGGGTCTAAAGAAGGGCAACAAAGATGATCAAAAGACTGGGAAGCCTGCTATACGAGGAAAGGCTGAGAATTGGGTTTGTCCAGCCTTGAGAAAAGAAGGCTTAGGAGACATATTATCCCCACATTCCAGTATTTAAAGGGTGGCTACAAAGAAGACAGAGACTCCCTTTTTACAAGAAGTCACATGGAAAAGACAAGGGGCAATGGGTACAAGTTACTCCTGGGGAGATTCCAATTGGACATGAGGAAGATTTTTCACAGTGAGAAAAATCAGCCATTGGGATAATCTCCCCACGTAAGTGGTGATTTCCCCAACATTGGACACCTTTAAGATTCAGCTGGACAGGGTACTGGGCCACCTTGTCTAGGCCACGCTTTTGCCAAGAAAGGTTGGACCAGATGATCCTTGAGGTCCCTTCCAACCTGGTATTCTATGACTCTATGACCCCCCTGTGCAGGCGTAGGGGATATGCCAAATATCCCTGCGTGGGTCAGTGCAACAGGCCTTGGGAAAGGAATGATTTTTGCAACTTACTTTGAGATTCTGGAGTTAAAAACACCCCCACAAACCAACCAACTTTGTAAATTCACAGTGATTTTATAAATATCCTAGAGGGAAGGGAGAAAGTTCCTGTGCATTTTCATGCTGCTAGTTTCTGACAGCTCTGAAAGACACACAGGAGGGGATCACACGTAGGACTTGCAAATTAGGAGGCAGACACTGTATATTACTTACCGTGCTAGATCCAGGCTGAAAACACAGAGTAACAGATCCATGCTATGGACATACAGCTTACTTCAGAATGAACTCACTCATACTCCTTTATAAAGCCTTTTTTCAAAGAGTAGGGTTAATTATTCTTTATACAGCAAAAAAACCCAAAGTAAAAAAAAAAACAAACCAACCCAAAGAATGAGAGCTGGTTTCTAGATCTTAGGTTTCTGCAGACCTTAACAGGTTCCCCACTCCTGAAAACCTGTCCTCACTCACTTCAAATCCTTGTCTCTTCAAGCAAGTGCCGTTTCATAATCCTATTAAAACCTTTGCCTCTGTTTACCAGGAGCATTAATCGTACTCAGCAAGTTCTTCTCGTCTAAGGAATAGTGACAGCTTTCAGATTTCTTAGGAGGCTTATTCCTCAGCTACGCCAGAGTTTTGCCAGAGCGTTCAATCTATTCTGGGAGCAGCCATGTGGAAAAAGTTTCAAACAGCTCAAAGCTCTGCACAATGATAAAGGAAAGCTCACACAATCCTGGTAATAGCCTGACCCTCTTAAGGAAAATTGGATGATTTGTGGTAGCAGTTTTTCTGTCCCCTATGTGAATTCTGAACCTTAAAGTATAAGCAGTGTAGTCACACAGTCCCATTACAAACCCTACCCCTCTTGCAACGCTGGAATATTAAATACACACCCATATGTGAAAATAAACTCTTGCTGCAATGACCTTCTTCCTCAGCCCACCGGTGTGAAGGAGTTTGTAGCCATTTTAGAAAAAAGAGTCGGATAAAGAATGGACTAATTTGATGTTCAGTGTTTCACCATGAGCAGAATATATGCTTTAATGAGCACATTACATGCACCAGGGACGTGTTACTGTGAAGCAGCGAATAAAGAGTAAGGGGAAAATAATTAAACAGCCAGCTTTATAACGAGGGAACTGTGTTCACGCAACATTAAGTGGCCTAATTTTCAAGTGCTAAGCAAAGACACGTTCCTTGGACTTCAGAAGGACTTGCTGGCAAGCACCACCTTGAAAACAAGGGTGAAGGATCACAGGTATCAAACCTCCTATAGCTCTAGAAGCACTAGAACACGGATGCCATCCTGAAGGCATCTGTCCACACTACGCACTGACCTATCCGACAGGATTAAATACCTGTACCCTGTAGTTCATATTCTAGAAGGAGGACCCTTAAAGTTTTAAAATGCCACATCATGTGTGGTATGTAGAATACTACAACTGGCTTCTGGCAGCCTGGCCTTAGTGTTCTGTTGGTACTGCATCTGCTAGGCCACAAGCAAACAATATCATCTATGAGCACTGAGCACATGAAGACTTAGTGTAGCTGTTTGCACAAGCAGAGCTACTGGGAAAGGGGAAAATCTGTCTCGTTGGGTTCAGACACTGACAGAATGAACCAATAAACCATATTTCTGACTGTTACCAGTTCTCTCAAGGCCCGTAAGGCCAGGAACGTTCATTTACTGGGACCATCAGTTCCAGATAGTGTTGCAATATCAATTACTTCAGCATAATAGCCCATCAGTCAGGTGGCAATTCCGCTGGGCCACAGGCTCCCTGTCTTTGCAAATGGACATGGCACAGTCTCTTCTTTGTTACTCACCCTCATGCCTAATTCAATGTTTTCTCCTCCATAGACCTCCATACCAGGGTCAAGCAAGCCAATCTCACCAAAATACTCTCGGTCCACTACAAACGAGCATCCAATCATGGCTGGTGTCCTGCGCAGAGAGATTAAAGCAAAAAATTAAGTCATTTATTAGCTACTACAGAACCCACCTCATAACCAATTCACACAGACAAAACAGTTCTTCATCTTCAAACGTACATTTTAAATTTATCTATTAGTGTGCAATCACATTGCACTTCATCCCCCAATGGACAGAGGACTTTGTGGGACCACAGCCACCCACATAACTAGCAGACTGCCAGACACACCTGGACCAGTTGACTGCGAGACAGACACAAGATGTGAAGTCAAGTACTCCATGCATGTAAGTGAAGCATCAGGATGTTTTTCTGTTGTTTCATAGACAATCTCTGTGCTGGAGCTGAAGTTCACCGCCGTACAGAGCAACACAAGAACCAGACACCACTTTATTTGAAGATTAATACCCAAAGAAATCCCATAAGCTTTCTCAGAAATGGGGAGTCCCCTTACCCACATATTAAAAGGAAGTGCACGTCAAGAGCCATGGATCAGTCATGATATGAAGTTTGGCAAGGGACTTCCTGGAGTCAACTCTAGTAGATAAATTTCAGCCTTTGTGAAGCTGTTCCATGATTAACATGTCTATGTTTGCTGAGATCAGTCTTTAGAAAAGGACAGATTTTCAGAGGAAGAGACTCTGCCCTCAGATGTGCCACTGACCGACTGGGTGATTTCAGATAAATCATTTCCCTTCTCTGAGCATCAATTTCTTTCTGTGTAAAACTACGGTTCTGCTCTCCTTTACAAAGCGATCTGAACCCTGTCACCCAGCAGCGCTACATGACAACAAATGTTGAGATCATTTACCACATGAACACAAGCGTTACTTCAATGCAATACAAGCTAGTGACATTTGCTAGTTTCATTTGTCCATACTTCCTCTGCATCTCTGTACTGGTCACAACACCTGCTTCTTTAAAATACAAGGTAGGAGCTAAGTTTTGCTACTATAGCCCACAATTTAAAAATGCAAACTTGACTAACTTTAAGGTGGAAAACCGAGAGTCTGCAGCTCCATGTTTGACTTGCAATTCAGCTGCAGGTTGCATAGTGCCTCCTGCAAGGTCATGGGTGGTCATCCTGCAGTTTGACCTACAGGATGTGCCCAGGCCCTGGCGACAGACCCCGCCAGTTTAGTGGGATCCCAACCGACCAGACTGCTGAATCGGGAAAACCGTAAAATCATTTGAGAAACTGAACGCTTTTGGAGCTGACCTAGAAGAATGAGCTGTGCTCCCTCTTCCATTGAAAGGGAGGCAATTTTGGACGATCTGGCAGATACGACATCATTCCTAACAGTGCTATTGTAAAAAAACATCAGGAAAATTCTACTTTATGCCTATTTCTATTTTCTAGTAGAATAGAGAATGCTCTGTCTATTGCCCAAGCTTATATATACACCATGAAAACACCCTATAGAAACAAACATGATGGAAAAGGTCTAAAACCTATTTTACGAAGTCTCCTTTGTAAGGCACTAATGTTACACTGTCGCTATGAAGTCTCTCTTGTCCCAGATACCTACGTGTTTCTTCAATTTGTACAGAAAGTTATTCACAGGGTATTTGCCCATGACATCTGAGAAACGTATTCACGAGGCTGTTTCTTACCCATGTGAAAAACTGCCCTGGCTGGGAAAATGAACCCATTTTTCACCCATGTCTTGGTGGATCCCACCGGTAGCAGCAGGTGGCTGCTGCAATGGTGTTATCACATCAGGTCCTTTTTCTCATCAGCAGTTCACCATTTCTGCAGCAGGAGGTTAAAAAGGCTTCAAACAAACAGCCAAGATATGGTTAGATAAAACAATTCTTTGCTCCTGGGCCTAATCCATATCCCAACATTGCAGAACACAGTACATCGTACAGGAGGAACTATTTGGTACCCCTGAAAAGGTTCATTTGCTGAAGCGCTGCTGTTACTTATCTGTAATGGACTCTGCCGTAGCACTCACATTACTGGTACTGCTTCAGCATCTCTCCCTTCCACTTTTTCTCAGTTTGAAAGCCATTGCAACCTCTCAGATCATTACAAGCCCATACTGCAGTGCACGCTATCACTCTCATGTTTTCTCTGCATAATTGAAAAAGGCAGCTGTTGATAGAAACACATTTGATCGGCACGGTTTCTGACAAAGAAGTTGAAACAGCTTGATTAACTCTCACGTTCCACCCTTGCAGAGTGAGATGCATTCCCTGGATCATGAGCTGGGGGGACAGGATTCAGTGGCCGTTACAAAAGCGAACATCTGGCTTTCACAGATGACTTTGGACTGACACGAGGCTCTCAGGCAGATCCCTGCACCCATTCAGCCCAGAAGGCTGGGGGAAACTGAGGCCAGATGTCACAACCCTTACAAAGAAACTGCAGCAGGGTGACCAGCAACACCCTCAGTGCCTGGAGCTCTCCCACGCCCCACAGTCCCCCTGCTGCATGTGCAAAAAATTCCAGCGCTTCTCCGTTTGGTGCCGTTATTTGTGAAGGCTTTCTGTTGAATCAGTCTCTAGTCAGAAGTGGTCTCAGAGCTCTACAAAAACCACGCATGGTTTTGGGTACTCCTGGTTGGATACATCCATCTTCTGTTGATGCTTATACTTATACACCAGGATCTTTGCAAGATGGGTGGCATTTATAAATTCAAGTTATTGGGTGAAATGCATCTTCCTGATTATACTTCCTAGAGCGATACCTGAAGACAGACTTGACTAAAAAGGCTGAAAGTGCTCCCGTACACAGGACTGGATATATCCTATACATGCCCCACTGTCACATCCTGTATCATGAAAACCATATTTTAGGCTACCAAGGAATAAATTTGGTCTAGAAACTGACATAAAGGAAGGACATGACCAAAGAAAGGCAATTCAGTAGCTCTGAAATGAAATAAGCCTTTGAGGAAATATTTAGGTATTTCTTAAGTGTTAACCACGATAAAAAAGCAAAGGAGGTGCGGGGAAGAAACACGTGCCACCTTCTTCATTTTCCTTTTTATGTATTTAAAGCTAAATACAGGCATAACTGGATGAAGGCTAGAGCATCACTGCTTTGCAAAACTGTGCTGCTAGTTTGGGCTTAGACTTACTCTCTTTCCAGCTCCCCCCAAATCCCCTCGAGGTAGCACCTTACAGTGGTAGGATGCTCCCATGAGGACATTTCTCCTTCCATCCTTCCTAGTGAGGAGCAGTACCGCTCAGCTTTGCAGACTGCTCTCAGGTGCTGGAATCTCTCTCTCTGGGGGATGGATTTTTTCAGCAGTCGGCTCCGTCCATTAAAACAGGGACTTGTTAATTGAATGGGGGTGGGAAATACATTTTAGATGCAACTTCATAATCATCACTCACAGACGAACGCCAGAGCCATGCCTCTGCAACTCCCTCTCTCTCTTCTAGGTTTTGTTTCCTCTCATTACATATATTCAAACACAGACTCCACAAGCCTTCGTGGCTTATTCAGGAAAAAAAAAAAATGTTTTCAGGAACGAGCAACAACAGCAGTGCAATGGCAGAGGGAACCACATCCAGCTTTTCAGAGAGGCCAGTCAAAAATGGCCACTGTCAGTGCCTTTCTGTACCTGAATTTGGCTGCCTGCAGCCACCGCTCTCCCGCACAGCAGCACGGCCACAACTCCAGAGGTGAACTGAACCGAGCAGCCTGTGGCTCTGCCCTGGCCGCATCCTGACGCGATGGAAGAACCTGCCTACGATGCACAATGTTGAATTTTCTGCATCCTGCACATTCCACACTTCCATCGGGTTCAACCAGAGTTTTGGGCATTCAGTCCTCATTGAGCCCAGGGCCTTTAACTTCCCTGTGCTTTGACTGACCCAACTGTAAACCAAGTGTAATGCGATTGCACAGCCCAGTGAGCTGGTAACAGCGCTGCGAGCCGGGGGACCCTCACTCTTCCCAGCCCTGTCATTCATCTGGTCTTCAGTGAGTCACTTCCCTCTGCCTCTCCTTCTCCATCTGTGAAGCACATGTAAAATACTGGGGACAAGTCTGAGAACTGCTTCAGCAGCTTGGAAGACTAAGGTTCGCTTCTAAAATTGCTTTAAGCATATAGGTGGATAATTTTACACTGGACTACAGTGTTACATTGGCATATTGCAAAAATTTATAAAAAAACCCTGTCCCCCTCCAAAGCATGAGACCCCCACTTGGCTGTAATCACTATGTTTGTCCAGTTCCTGAAAAACTCCAGCATATCTACCACTTTTAGTATAGTGCATTAAAGACTTCCCTTGAAAGTGAGAAATGGATATATGAGCAAAAGCAACTGCGTTAGCACATCTTAAACACTGCTCGCTAGCCACGGGGCAGCAAATGAGAAGGTGCATGCCCTTAGCACTTCACAGCTTTAGAGTAAAACATGTTAACCTAAACACACCTGCTTTATATAAAAGGATGTTTTTCCTTAAGTCACGGACTTTCTAGTAAAACAGTGACATTTTTAGAAGGAAGGTATCACAAAATAGCAATTAGAGGTGTACTATTTTTTCCCAACACCTCAAAGGTGTTGGGAAACTTAATTATCTGTGGATATTCTTTGACACAACTGAGGATGTTATAAGCATTAATTATAATCAACAGCAGCACTCAAAGGATAATGTGGGAAACACAGCAAAATGGCTCTTGCAGCTAAAACCTTAAAATGCAGCATAGAATAGTATCAATTCTGCACTGGAGAAAGATACAGCACAGTCAATTTGTGGAAATTAGGTGATGGCGTGGCTGCAGCGAGGGAGAGGTGAGAGAGACATTACTCGGGGTAATACCTTGGGAAAAGGGTGGAAGCAGAGAGCAGAGCTTCATGGTGGCAAACCCTCCCTCCCTCCACCCCTGCTGCTGCCGCAGGTACAGCGTGGGTGGCTACGGGGGAAGAGAGGCACTGTATGGAGAAGGCAGTGCCTGCTATGGGATGGGGTACCAGAAACAGAGGACACGTTGGCCAGAGATAAAAACCACTTGCTGTAGGTCTGAGTTGCGACTATTTCATTTCAGCGAGACCTC